GGCGGCGGCGCTGAGCGCGTGGCCGCCGCGCGCGGGCACCGGGGCCATGCGGGAGTACAAGGTGGTGGTGCTGGGCTCGGGCGGCGTGGGCAAGTCGGCGCTCACGGTGCAGTTCGTGACGGGCTCCTTCATCGAGAAGTACGACCCCACCATCGAGGACTTCTACCGCAAGGAGATCGAGGTGGACTCGTCGCCCTCGGTGCTCGAGATCCTGGACACGGCGGGCACGGAGCAGTTCGCCTCCATGCGGGACCTCTACATCAAGAACGGGCAGGGCTTCATCCTGGTCTACAGCCTCGTGAACCAGCAGAGCTTCCAGGACATCAAGCCCATGCGGGACCAGATCACGCGCGTCAAGCGGTACGAGCGGGTGCCCATGATCCTGGTGGGCAACAAGGTGGACCTGGAGGGCGAGCGGGAGGTGTCGTTCGGCGAGGGCAAGGCGCTGGCCGACGAGTGGAGCTGCCCCTTCATGGAGACCTCGGCCAAGAACAAGGCGTCGGTGGACGAGCTCTTCGCCGAGATCGTGCGGCAGATCGCGGAGCCGCCCCGGCCTCCCCGCGGAGCCGCCGCCGCCGCCGCCGCCCGGGCCTCTATGCAAAAGCCGGGTCCAAAGCCCGGGGCGAGCGGCCCCGCGCGCCCCTTTACTGCTGTACCGGAGCGTCTGCTCACCCAGCCCTGTGGTTTCTATTATTATTTTCCCTCAAATCAGCTGTGAAAATGTTACAAATCTGCACAATTTTCTAGGTGTGCGTGCGTGATTTCATTTTTTTAATTATTATTTTAATCTAATCGGGTGGGCGGGAGTCTTTTTTCTTTCTTTCTTTCTTTTTTTTTGTCCTTTTGGGTTGGCCGTCCCTGCTGCCGACGAGGGGCTGTCGCGGCGCGAGGCCGCGCGGTGCCTTGGAGCTGGGCCGCCCGGCCGCACACAAGGGCCTTTTGTCAGCGGGATTTATTTCACATTCTCCATCTGAGCCTTTTTAACTGTAATCTCCGTGTCTTGCAAGTTTGGGCTTCGTTTGCTTCAAATTTGCAAGAATTCAGCCTGTGGGGATTTGGGGAGGGGGGCAGGGATGTTCCTTTTTTAAAAAAATAATTTTATTATTATTATTATTTTGTTGTGGGACGTACCTCTAGCCAGCAAAGAAAGAAATCTTGATGTTGTGATGTAATGAGAAAATTTGAACAACTGTCGTCTTAATTCCAGACATGCAGTTAAGAGATGTCTATCCACTTTAAGGATTTGAATACTTTTTTTTTTTTTTTTTTAAGAAAACAACTTTGTGCCATTTGATGTATTACGTGGAACACCACTTTTGCAGACACTATTGATTGTGATTTATGTCTTAATAGTAATAAAGGGGGTGAGAGGACAGGGCTTGAATTAGGTAAGGACAACAACAAAGCCCAAGGCTCTAATAGTGAGCATTTTTAATGCAGTTTTAATCAGTATTTAGGTCCTGCTCCTGTGTGATGTAGCGTCCAAGTGGAACACTATTCAGTCAGCAGTATTCCGTAGGAAGATGGCATGGCTTTAATGCAGCAGCTCTTGTAAGAGCAGAGCTTTTTCTCTTGCTGGGAACAACATGGTTTATCGGAGTGAAATTTTAAAGGTTTAAGTGTTTGTGAAGTGCCAAGTTTTCAATTTGTTGTGTTGTATGTGCGTGGAGGCCGTCGTTCCTCCCCCGGGTGGGAGGACACAGGTGCCTCCTGCGCTGCGAGGCCTGGCGGGATGCGCTCGCTCCTCAGCCTCCTCTCTTAACCCTTTCCGTAAACATTAACACAAAAAGTGCAGCTCCTTTCCCGTGCCAGGAAGAAATGAAATTTCTTTACTATAAGAAGCCAAACGTTTAGCGATTGTCTGTAAAGGTAGTTTTGTTCAGGCCACTTGAAGCCAAAAGCCATCATTCCTACTATAAATGTGACCATTTCCTCCATTTTAAATAGGAAAGCTTTCGCTTCAGCACTGGAAGGGTTTAATACTACTGAAATTGCAGTGGCTGAGATTTGAGTGATAATCTTGTGTCATAGCTGGGAACTGGACACTTATTTTAGCAACTTTATGTACCAAAAGTTTGGAAAAGGTTATATGCTTAATATGTTAACATATCTCTTCTCCTGAGCTCGCAGGTATCCCCAGGGCCGTGAGCAAGTGTTCTGCTAGACCTGCCCATCACAGCTAAGAGATCAGTCTGGGGCCTTTAAACAGCAGGTAAATTGACCCAGCTCCCACCCCTCCTCCCATTTTTAAGCTGAAACTGAAAATCCCGTTGCAGCACAACTTACCTTTGGGATTTCTTTCTTTTTTTTTTCCTCTCTTTTTTTTTTTTTTTTAATGAATTAGGAAACCTGGTCCTTGAGGACTTCCACACTAGGCCAGAATAATGTATACTGATGTCAGGGGCTTCCTCTAACAAAAAGTAGTGCATGGAAAACAAAAAGCTTTGCTGCAGGCATATCTTGCACTGAAGCTTAAAAGAAAATGCCATGAATTATATCTCAGCTACTTCTGTGGTTCAATTTTGCCTTAAATTTGGTGGAATTATATAGTTCCTAGGACCTAATGGGGTTTGCCCCAAATCAGTGTATTGAAAGCAGTTCGTTCAACTTAAAAAGAAAAAAAAACCCCAAAACTTAAACAGTTTTCCCAACAGAATAGCAGTTTCCTAATGTTTCGGAGTGCCTCCTGTTTTCCTATTGCCTGTCTGATGGTTGAGGAATGATGCAGAAATGTGTGTGTGTACTACACTCACAGTGGAACACAGAGGACAGTTTTCCCTCCCTGGCAGAGCAGCTGAAGGCGGCCTAATAAGGACTGCGGATTATGCCGGGGGCTTGTAGATATGGTCTACTTCTTGCCAAAAGGTGTATTTGTTAAACAATGAAGGATTTAGGAAACCGCCTCGAAGATCTGATCAGTCATGAATGTATTTAGGTGTTCGACGTTCTCTGTGACTGCTGAGGACAGTACAAAAAGTAGAGCCGAGTAGTGTGATCTTCCAAATACTCTGAAGTTTTTTTGGTGCTTGTTAAACACAGACCTTGTCTATAAAGTAGAAAAAAAAAGTACTGCTTTAACTTGACTGAATAATGAAAGCTGTATTTCCTTCTACACTAGAGGAAAATGTTGTATCAATATAAAGGTACTCTTTTATTCCTTTTCCCTGTGGGAATATGTTATACCAGTATCGATACAAAGGTGACATACAGCGCTTTCACAGTGAGGGTTGAAAAAAAAAAAAAAAAAAATTGATTTGCAAGAAAAATCACATTCCCAGCCAAAATGCTTCCTAACAGTGCTGAAACTGTGTGAACAAGGCCTTAGTTTAAGGCTTGTCTTATGGCCGCATATTCTACTGTACATAATGATTGTATTTTTAAAATCCAAGCTTGTTCTCTTGCAAGAAAGTGTGTCTTTGAAACCCGAGTCTCTGTGGTCATAATTGTGCTGTGTCCTGGGCCCCGTTTCCAATCCAAGTGTGGTTCTTTGCAGTGCAACACTCGGGCTCGTCGGTGCGTGCGGCCCCGCGCACGGTGTCGGCCGCGGCGCTCCGGAGGGGCTGGTTCCTCCTCTGGCAGGTGTCCTGCAAAGGGCGTTCTCCATAGGGGCAGCTGGCTCTTCATGGCCTCGTCTTCTGGGTGCTCCTTGCGTGCAGGGGTTGCTAAATATCCCATTTCCTTTGGAGTGACACAACGCAGGAACTTTCCTCGTGTGGAAAGGAGCGCGAGTGTGTTCCTCCACGTCCTCCGCCATGTAAATCAACGGACGGCTCCCGTGATGGGAGGTGGGAAGTGGCTGGAGCGCTCCTGCTGCGGGAAGCTCTCCTCCCTCCCGGCTCGCGCGGCGGTGCTCGACGCGTCGCTGCGTCCCTGGAGCTCTCCGCTCGAGCGCCCCGTCCTTCTCAGGTGAGAATGAAGCACGGCTCTGAGCTCTGCACAGGCGACACAGCTCTAAATAACCATCCCTCTAACTTGTTCACAGCCTGTTCCCACGGTGAAGCCTACAGCTTCATACAAAACGTGTGTCCAAGCGATTCCTGTCCTGCTGTGTTGGTATAAAATGCTGTTCTGGAATCTGCTTCTTGTAGGAACTCAACATCTGCCCAACGTGAAGAATCGGTGGGGTGGGACGTTGAATCTTTGGTGAATGTGCGCCTAGCAGATAAGAGCAGGGTTTGGTTCAAACAGCTACAAGGCTCCAAGGAGCCGGAGCGACGGAGCAGCAGTTTGTGGCTGGGGACGTTTTTCTGGGGGGGGGGGGGTCC